ACAGATTCAGATGCTTGGGGATAGCCGGACCTCGCAAGGGCCTGCTGTCCCTTTTGTAGACAGTCTGTCCTCTGGTTACAGTCTGAAGCCTCTGAGGCCAGCTGTCCTCACCATCAGCCTACAGTAGGTTTTGCTAATGTCTGGGACCAGTGGGCAAAGCAACTTCTCCCTGTCTTGATGCTAATGGTCTGAGCATCTCTGCACCACTGCCTGCTCCTCATAGCCCGTGCTTAGGTTCCCCCCCAAAGTCTATTCCCTTCCACTCCACCGCATTAGGCATATCTTCCAAACTGCTGAAAAGACCAGAATACTAGATTGTACATTTTGTTCTGGCTGTAACTGGAACGATCCCTTCTTTTGGGTTTCCTGTGGCTTAGCTATTACAAGTTCCAGCTGTCTGCACCACAGCCAGCAAGTCCCAGCCTGGGACGTCCTCCCTTCCCCAAGCACATCTTCCTCTCAGAGCTGGTTGTGAACAGGAGTTCCTGTCTGGCATACTGCTTCTTCCTTTGAAGGCCACCTGCCTGTTTTTCCTCTTTGGATAGGACTTCCATTGTTCTTGAAAACATAGCTTTCATCAGGGTGACGCCAAACCTTCACTATGTAACTTTTCCTGGTACCCAGGGTGTCTGCAGATTGGCAAATTCGACCCTGTCTCTGGTTCAGTGTTCTGAGGCTTTTCCAGAAAACTGTTTTCCTGGGTAAAAACCCCACTTTCCTCCCCTAGTAAATGTCACCTTTTCCCTTTGCATTAAAAAGATGATTCAAAAACCTTTCTCAGCCACAGGCAGTGCTGCACACCTGTGATGCCTGTAACCCCAGCACTCAAGAGGCTCAGGCAGGAGGATCACAAGTTCAAGGCCATCTTGAGCTACATAGAAAGACCTTATCTCACCAAAAACAAAACAAAAACCCAACTTTCTCAGGCGTCTTCCTGTCACCATAGCCATGTTCTTCCTTCTTGACTGAACTCCAGCCTTTTTTTAAAAAGATTTATTTATTTCATGTATGTGTGTCTGTAGGTATGCATCAGTACAGTTGCCCTTGGAGGCTTTTAAAGAGGGCATTGGATCCCCTGGAACTGGAGTTACAGACGGCTGTGAGCCACATGATGTGGGTGCTAGGACCTGAACTTGGGTCCTCTGGAAGAGCAGCCAGCGTCCCCGTCCTCTGAGCCCTGTCTCTAGCCCCCCCATCCTCTGAGCCGTGTCTCTGGCACCCCTATCCTCTGAGCCGTGTCTCTAGCCCCCCATCCTCTGAGCCATGTCTCTGGTACCCCCATCCTCTGAGCCGTGTCTCTAGCCCCCCCCCATCCTCTGAGCCCTGTCTCTAGCCACCCCCAGCCTCTGAGCCCTGTCTCCAGCCCCCCCATCCTCTGAGCCGTGTCTGTAGCCCCCCCCCATCCTCTGAGCCCTGTCTCTAGCCACCCCCAGCCTCTGAGCCCTGTCTCCAGCCCCCCCATCCTCTGAGCCGTGTCTGTAGCCCCCCCCCATCCTCTGAGCCCTGTCTCTAGCCACCCCCAGCCTCTGAGCCCTGTCTCCAGCCCCCCCATCCTCTGAGCCGTGTCTGTAGCCCCCCCCCATCCTCTGAGCCCTGTCTCTAGCCACCCCCAGCCTCTGAGCCCTGTCTCCAGCCCCCCCATCCTCTGAGCCGTGTCTGTAGCCCCCCCCCATCCTCTGAGCCCTGTCTCTAGCCACCCCCAGCCTCTGAGCCCTGTCTCCAGCCCCCCCATCCTCTGAGCCGTGTCTGTAGCCCCCCCCCATCCTCTGAGCCCTGTCTCTAGCCACCCCCAGCCTCTGAGCCCTGTCTCCAGCCCCCCCATCCTCTGAGCCGTGTCTGTAGCCCCCCCCCATCCTCTGAGCCCTGTCTCTAGCCACCCCCAGCCTCTGAGCCCTGTCTCCAGCCCCCCCATCCTCTGAGCCGTGTCTGTAGCCCCCCCCCATCCTCTGAGCCCTGTCTCTAGCCACCCCCAGCCTCTGAGCCCTGTCTCCAGCCCCCCCATCCTCTGAGCCGTGTCTGTAGCCCCCCCCCATCCTCTGAGCCCTGTCTCTAGCCACCCCCAGCCTCTGAGCCCTGTCTCCAGCCCCCCATCCTCTGAGCCGTGTCTCTGGCACCCCCATCCTCTGAGCCCTGTCTCTAGCCCCCCCATCCTCTGAGCTGTGTCTCTGGCACCCCCATCCTCTGAGCCCTGTCTCCAGCATTCCTCCATGAACTTCATTCTTTATAATCTGTTCTAATGTGGTGCTGTCATCTTGGTGTGGCCTTGGACTTTGAATCCATCTGCTCTAGAGGTGTCGTTCATGAGGAGGAGTAGCTGCTATCTTCCTTGAGTTGGCCTTTCCTCTCTGCCAGTGGCTCTTTGTTGTGCCTTCTCCAAAGTCCCACGAGGGCTTTTGTCTGTTAATCATAGACAAACAGGGCTTCACTACTCAGCTGGGTCCCAGCAGTACCTTGGCTGGATTCTCCATGGTGACCCCCATCTCCCTCACTGATGCCCTGGAGTCCCCCCCCCCCCCCCC